AGAGAGAGAGAGAATTTTTAATATTTATTTTTTAGTTCTCGGCGGACACAACATCTTTGTTGGTATGTGGTGCTGAGGATCAAACCCGGGCCACATGCATGCCAGGCAAGCGCGCAGCCACATCCCCAGCCCAAGTTTGACTCTTTCCTATATCCTATAATTCTTTTTTTTCCCCCCAGTTGTTGGTGGACATAATACCTTTATCTATCTATTTATTTATTTATTTTTAAGAGAGAGAGAATTTTAATATTTATTTTTTTAGGTTTTTGGCAGACACAACATCTTTGTATGTGGTGCTGAGGATCGAACCCCGGCTGCATGCATGCCAGGCGAGCATGCTACCGCTTGAATCACATCCCCAGCCCTATTTATTTATTTTTAATGTAGTGCTAAGGATTGAACACAGTGCCTCACACATGACAGGTAGGCACTTTACCACTAAGCTACAACCCCAGCCCCTGAATTCCTTTTTTCTTTTTTAAATATTTATTTGTTAGATGTAGTTGGACACAATACCTTTATTTTATTTATTTATTTACTTATGTATGTATTTTAATGTGGTGCTGAGGATCAAATCCAGGGCCTCGCATGTGCTAGGTGAGCACTCTACCACTCAGCCACCACCCCAGCCCCCTGAAATTCTTTTTTGTAAGTAGATTATAACTAGCCAGAGACCATAAGTTGGTGTTGTCCATAAAGAGCCTGAAAATAACAAGCATCCACCTTGTAGTAACTTTCATGGCAGTACTTCTCTTTTTTTTTAAATATTTATTTTTTACTTATAGGTGGACACAATGTCTTTATTCTATTTTCATGTGGTGCTGAGGATCGAACCCAGGGCCTCATGCATGATAGGCGAGCGATCTACCTCTGAGCCACAACCCCAGCCCATGGCAGTACTTCTCAATGGGACACTTTTATCTCTTCGTGTACATTTTGGCAGTATTTGGAGACATTTTTGGTTGTATCATGGGTAGAGATCAGTGATCCTGCTAAATATTCTACAATATACAGGACAGCACCTACAATAAAGAATTAATCTGGTTCAAAAAGTGTGGTGCTGTAGTTAAGAAACCCTGTCTGTGGTTTAGGAATAGGAAATTGAGATTCACTGATACTTAATTTTTTTTTAATCTTTGAAATTATTCCTTGGCTTGAAGGTGTAAAATTTATACAACTAGAACAGAATAGTATAACCAGTTTTCAAAGTGAATCTGTGAGCCACTGATTCCCAGAATATGGTTGTTGTAGAATTGTAGTTTCTTAGGCTTTGTAGTAACTTATGCTTGAAGTTACTTAACAATGTTGTAGCCAAGTGGTAATTTGCCTTACTTAAAAGTTTCTTATATCTGATTTTTCTATATTTTAAACTGCTTTTAATAACTTTTTCCTTATTCTGAGCTGCGTGTCATAATTTTTTACTGAATATGGTTCTGTTTCATGTGCCTACATTCAACAAGCTTGTTGTGTAATTTGTACTATGGCAGTGTTTATATTTTAGTTCTGGTACAGATTGTTTACAAATAACATGAATTTTGTATTTTGTTGGTGACTTTTAAAAGGTAGCATTCTCAATTGGTGAGGTATTGGGGGTTGAAAACAGTAGGAATGGATATGGTTCATTGGTTCTTTTTTCCCTGTCAAGTAATAACACAGTGAGTCTGGGGGGTTTTAGAGACTTCTCATTATAATGCTGGCTTATTTGTTTTAACTTGTGCATAGGCTCTTAAAAACTTAAATTTTCAAATTCTGGTGAATAAAGGGTGCTTTAAATAGTGTCTGCGTCTACAACAAATTTTGTTTAATTTGCTTACAAGTGAGTCTGCTAAGAAAATACATCCTATTGTTGTTCTCTGCCCTCTCCTCACACATTTGCTTAATATATAAATAAATTTAGATATTTTCAACTTCATGATCACAATTTTAGAATATGTTTATCCTAGAATATAGATCTCTCAATATATACTTTAAAATATGTATCTTTTGTAAAATATCATAGCTCTTTTTTAGAATAAGAATTTTTATTTAATTGTCTATTGACTTTTTTTTTCCAGGGTTCATTGAAAAATCCTTAGTGATATTGACATGTTTCAAGTGACATAAATTAGCCAATGACTCGGAATGATGGATTCTCCGAAGATTGGAAATGGTTTGCCAGTGATTGGACCAGGGGCTGATATAGGGGTATCTTCACTCCCCATGGTGGGGTATTTGGGAAAAGTTAGTGAACTTATTTTTTGGCTCAGTACAAAGTTGTTTTTTTTCCCCCCTTCTATTTTTGACACTTAAATTCAGTTTTAATTTTACCAATTAACTTCTAAAATGGTGTATCTTCCACGGAAATCTTACAGCAATGGCGAAAGATTATTTTAATGTGTTTACCTCTCTGTGTTTATTGATATATGAACAGACCTTATAGTTTATTATTCTTTGAAAATATGGAACATACATTTTCCCTGGCAGTTGATGCTACTTTTTTTTCTTCCTGCAAATAAAATGGATGCTGTTTTTAACACTTAAAGTTTAATTCTTATGATATTCTTTTTTCAGTAATAGTTAAATTTAAAACCTTATGCATTTCTTTTATTTGCCGTGTTTAATCTTGCCAGGACACTTCTAATTGAACTTTCTGTAATTTGATATGATTTAAAAATATTTTCATTTTAATTGCTTTAT